TAATATAGAACAAGTAATGTCAATGCTAATATAAGATATATCTTAGCTGAAAGCAGAGAACACCAGAAAGCTGTTTACTTGTGTTTTATTGATAATGCATGAGTCATAATAACCTCTGGATAACCTTGAGAGACAGTTCACTGTGTCATTGAGAACCTGTCCATGGATCAAGATGCCGTTGTGTGAATAGAACAAGGGGATACTGCATGGATAAGATCAGGAAATGGTGTGTCAGGGTTGCATCCTCTCACCATACTTATTCACTCTGTACGCTGAGCAAATCATCAGAGAAGCTGGATTCCATGAAGAAGAATGTGGCATCAGGACTGGAACAAAGCTTATTAATAGCCTGCAGTATGCAGACGACATAACTTTTCTTGCTTACAGGGTGGAGGACCTGAAGCATTTGCTGATAAAAAGGTTTAAGTTGTCAAGGATTTTGTCTTGCTTGAATCCACCATCAATGCTCATGGAAGCAGCAGTCAAGCGATCAAAAGATGTATTGCATTAGTTAAATCTTTTGCACAAGACCTCTTTAGAGTATTGAAGAGCAAGGATGTTACTTTGAGAACTAAGGAGTGCCTGACCAATGCCATGGTATTCTCCATTGCCTCATATGCATGTGAAAGTTGGACATTGGATAAGAAAGACCAGAGAAGAATTGAATCATTTGAATTGTGGTGCTGGAGAAGAATACTGAAACTATCATGGACAGATAAATTTGTTTTGGAAGAAGTAAGACCAGACTCCTTCTTAGAGGCAAGGGTGGCAAGACTTTGTCTTACATCTTTTGAACATGTTTTCAGGAGAGACCAGTCCGTAGAGAAGGACATCATGTTTGGCAGAGTGGAAGGGCAGTGAACAAGAGGAAGGCCCTCAAGGATAAGGACTGGCACAGCAGCCGCAACAATGGGCACAGGCAGAGGAGCATTTGTGAGGGTGGTGCTGGACCATGCAGTGTTTCCTTCCATTGCACATCAAGCCACTTTAGGTTGGGGTGAACTCGATGGCACCTTAACAACCACACAACAACACCGCGCTCATGTGGACGTATTCGTGGATCAAGAGGCAGTTGTGTGAACAGAACAAGAGAATATTAGATGGTTTAAAATCAGGAAAGGATGGATGAACCTATGGAGATAGCAAGTAGAATAAGGGTTTTGAGGGGATGGGGGTTCTGGGGTGGAGAGGAGGGAAGGGGAGCTATGCCAAAGGGTCCATGCAGAAAAAGAATGTTGGGAACTAATTGTGGTAGCAAATGTACAATTCTGCTTGACGTGACTGAACGGTGGAATGATATAATGTGTGCATGTGTATATATTTAAAAATAAAATGAAAGCAGGAAAGGTATGTGTCAGGGTTGAATCCTCGCATCATATTTACTCAGCTTGTATGCCAAGCAAATAATCCGAGAAGCTGAAGAAGAGCGCATCATCAGAATTGGAGGGAGGCTTCTTACAGCCTGTCAAACGCAGATAGTGCAGCCTTGCTTGCTGAAATTGAGGACTTCAAGCACTTGCACTTGCAAGGACTGCAAACCTCAGTGTAGATTACAGCTCAATGTAAATATCAAAAGTCTAAACATACTTTCAAATTTTGAATGAATCACAAGCACTGATAAAATGTCCAAAGCTCTGACAACAGTGGACCCTCATTCCCACATGATAGTAATCATCTGCGGAGGAGAGGGAGCGGAGCTTTTAGAAAGCTCATGAACTTCCCATGTCCTTGGTCCCCACTTCTTAATGTCTTATTCTCATAAACGTTAGCATTACCTAACATCTGCAGTTATCATAATTTATGCTCGCTGTTACAGGAACCATGACCAAAACCCCAAATCATTGTTTTTAACTTAGATCACTTGAGTTGCTGACATTCTAATCAGGTTCTCACAATTCTCCCAGATTCCCAGGCAGAAATTTATATCATTTATGACTCTTTGTCTTCTCAAGAATCCATCATAGCCTTTCACAACATTCAAAATGCTTTGTTTTACACATCTCAATTGCTGCTTACTCATATGTTATATACTCTTCAGTTTCCACTTTTATTGCTGAAAGATCTCATTTTAGGTTCTTCTAACCACATCACTGTGCTAAAACAAGAGCTTGTTTTTCTTGTTGAAATCATGTTCTGAGTACATATAGGCCTCACGGATTGATAAAGTCCTTTCACCGATTGCATGATAATTTGACCTGTGGTTTACTCTCTGTTCCAGGGAAACTAGGGGGTGGAGAGGATTTCCACAACTGTATTGCTAAGCCTTGTTCATTGGGTTCAAAATAACCTCTGACTGGAGCATTGCACTTAGGCTCTGTAGAACTCTGAAACACCTCTACATATCAGAGCATGATTCTGTATCGAGCGCTTCTCAGAGGGCGGTGACTCTTAGAGTTGCGAGCCCTCTGCAGAGACCCGGGGGGCTGTTGCATGGCACTGTTTCATAGAACACTGCTCCTGTAGAGCTGGTCTGTCAAAACAGGGTAGCTTCTGCACCTGCCTGCTGTGAGTCTCCTTCCCTTCTCTCCCTGCACCTGAGCTGGCCCGTTGTGTTGAGCTATCAGATGTCTGAGAACGGGGATGCCAGATGTTGCCCTGTCTTTCTGAGGACTCGGGGTACTAGGAGGATGAGAAGGCAGCACCAGGATGCCCTGTGGCTGTCCAGTGAGTTGGAATCGAATGGGGTGAAGTCTGAGGAACATGTTCCTGGTGGAGAGTTGCAGAATCAAGTTACTAAATTCTCATCGCAGAACACTTTGAAAACCCTCAGTAGTGTGATCAAAGAAATTCAAAAATACAAATGATCACGATTCAATAATAAACCCAAAGCTAGCATAATTTGGTATATTTCTTTCTATTTCATAAGCCTATGTATATTTATTTCCATTCTTGCACATAGATATCATGCAGGACACCTGGGATTGACTTCTGACCAATGCACTTTATGTGCAGTCACCGACCGTCTGTCAGTGGAAGCTTGTGTGTTGCTAAAATGCAGAGCAGATTTCCCAAAGACACCATGACAGACCAGGAAGAAAGGCCTGGCAACCTGCTTCTGGGTCTCACCCAAGGAAGTCCTACAAAGCACGAAGTCCAGGTGATATGCGAGGATGGTGCAGGACTGGGCAGCATTTCGTTACATCGTGGATGGGGCCACCGTGAGTCACTGGCTTCCTCCACAGCCGCTGACTATTGAAGTATCCCTGTGACTGCACATTACATTTATATTCTGTATAGTTTCTTAAATGTCTCTTACTATTCAATATTCCTCAATGAAGAGTTTCCAATCTTAAGTGTTGAAAACAATCTTTCGTTGTTGTTGTTCCATGTTCTTGAGTCGTTTTCAATCCATAGTGGCCTTAGGCAGAGCAGAACGAAACACGCCCGGTCCTGCAACGTCCTCGCAGTTGCTGCCCTGCCTGCAGCGACTGTGCCATCAAGATGCTTGGGGAACTTTCCATCCGCTTCCGGAAAAATCCAAAACTCTTTAGTTTGCTACTAAAGAGCTCCCTCGACGGAGGTCTAATGATCTTCTTCACTGCCTTTGCTACTTCCTGCCTTCTCTGTCTCCTTCCAAACTCAGTCCCAATTTTATTGCTAACTGGACCTTTCTACATTTGCCCTGGGTTAAAACCACCTTTCCATCTTCCGAATGAACTATTTATTCACCACCGACATGTTTCTGAGTCATGATAGTTTAGATCTCTTTCCTATATTGGTTTTTACATTTGTATGTAGAAATGTTTCTACACTTGTTTCTACATGTGGATACAGTATCATTACAAACATCTTACCACCCTCCCCAGCGAGCTACGATGTCCCGAGGCCTCCCCAGAGTAGAAAGGGCACGGATGAAGGAAAGGTGTGACAAGCATGATTCCTCGGCATACCTGTTCTCCGTTGAGTGTTTGGAGAATCTGGACTCTCCCTCCTTCCATCCGGTAGACAATGACCTGGCCGGTGTGATTGTACCTCGGCTGCCCAGCGACATAGAGCACGTCTCCGGGCACGGTAGCGGAGTTCACGGTATAACCTACCAAAGAGAGATTCCAGATGGACTGCCTGGCCCCCTAGGTTCTGTGCATAGTAAATGAAGATGAATTTTAAATGGTGTGAAGAATCATTGTTATATTGAATCCCCTACCCCCACCACCCTAAATAAGACATGCCTTTTCAATGCACGGGGGAGTTTGTCCTGGTAGACGCTTGTAGTGTGTTCTTTGATTACCTACCATAACTGCTCTTACTTGAAGATGTGTCTTTCTTCCAACCTCGGTTTTTCATTAATTACAGGTGCATTTTTATAGCAATGATGACATAAGTAGACACGTACATAGGCACCCCACCACCATTGTGTACTGTAAACATTATAGTGCATTTTAGACACCTGCGTCGTCACTGACAGAGTGGTTCTGTGTCAGCAGTTTGAAGCCCCCAGCAGCTCCATGGAGAGAGATGGGCTTGCAACTTCGGCAACAAGTTACAGCCTCAGAGGCCCACAGGCCCGTTCAACCTGTCTGTCTGTCCTTCAGAGTCCCCAGGGCTCCGAATCACCTCCACGGCGTGCTACGGACTGCGCGTGGTGCCTTCATTATAGAAATCCACCGTTTGATAGCGTGAGAGGCAGCAAATGTGAAGCCTTTCCCTGAGATGCTTTGGAGCCTTGTTAATTTCCATTTTCATGGCTGAAGCTACTTCTGGGGTAAGGCATTGCTTTACCCCATTGCACGACCATTTCCTGATGAGTGCATATAGGTGCCTTTAAATTTTTGTTAACACATTTAAACATTCAGAGACAGCTTTAAGCATTCAATTTTTCCCCCTTTGGGGGGCTTTTTTTGAAGATACATATCAGGAAGAGATTACTGGATCAAATTTTTAATGGTTCTTGTGCTGTCTGGGGAATTGCTTCCAGAACATTTATACTGATTTATTCTATGAACAACACCTAAGAATGGGCTGGTTTCATGGAATTCTCCCTAATAGTGCGTGTCTTGACTATTTTCAAATTTGTGAACATTTTAGGTGTTAAACATAGTCTAACAATTGTGCCTCAAAGTGATTTTAATTGGTGTTTGTTTGATTACTAGTTAGATCTGCTATATTGTTATATGTTTGATCACATCTCTTTTTAATTGGGCTTCCATGGAAGTTTAAGTTGCATCTTTAATGCAGATTTTATGAGCAAAGAATTAGATTTATTCTTTGGGTTTCTGTTTTAGAGAATATAAACAACTCAATGGATGAAAATTGCTGCATACAGATTTTAATTCAGCAGCAAAAGAAGGTATTCTAATATTCAGACTTGTCTAAACAGAATGTAGGCTGTTTTTAAAGGTCATGAAATAGCACACAAGAAGAACGTACTGATTTTACTATAATGTAGTCAGTATTCTTCTAATGCTTTTGAATAAAAGGAACAGAGTTTTTTTTTAACTGAAACATGTTTCCCTTTGTTAGTTTAAAAGAAAAATAGGCTTACTTTATTATGTGAAGATTTTTTCTCACATTCTTATTTCTCCAACTTTATTTAATAAACATTTTTAAAAGATTATACATACTAGAATGTAACATGGTCATTTTCAAAAGTGTTATATTTTTATTTTTTCTAACTACATTATCGCTTACAAATAAATACTTAGGGTGCAGTTTATATATAAATAAAACAGAAAGGAAGAGTGCGCAAAATGAAAGCTGCTTTTCATTTCATGTTGCTCTCTTAAGAAATATAGAGATGGAATGGCATGAAAGTGTTAACAACAACAACAACAACAAATCCAAACTCACTGTCGTTAAGTCGATACCAACGCAGAGCAAGCCTAAAGGAGCGGATAGACCTGCCCCTGGTGTTTCTGAGATGGGACTCTTTAGAGACATGGAAAGCCCCATCTTTCTCCTGCTGGTGGTTTCAAACTGCTGATCTTCCTGTTAACAGTCCAAGGAGTAGCCAGGAGGTGACCAGGGATTCGTGAGAGTGTTGTTAGGTTCCATTGAGTCGGTGGTGATGCATAGCAACCTCATGCACAACGTCTTTATTGGGATCCCATTAAACTCTCCAAACCAAATCCCAGAGTTGGTTTCTGACTCATATCAATCCTGTAGGACAGAGTAGAACCACCTCTTGGGTTTCTAAGACTTTAAGTCTGTATGTGAGCAGACAGCCTGATCTTTTCCCACAGAGCAAATAGTAGGTTGAACTGCTGATCTTCTGCTTAGCAGCCCAACACATAGCCCATGATACCATGAAGATGTCTTTCAATCCATCTAATTGCCGATCTTCCTTTGTTGGTGCCCCTCTACTTTACCAAGCATGGTGTTCTTTTCCAGGGACTAGTTGCTCCTGATCCCATGCCCCAAGTACATGAGACAAAGTCTCACTATCCTTGCTTCTAAGGAGCATTCTGGCTATACTGCTCCCAAGACAGATTATCTTGTTCTTTTGGTAGTTTGTGTTATTTCCAATATTCTTCTCCAACATCTGAATTGACATGCATAGATTCTTCTTCAGTCTTCCGGTCAGTGTACAACTTTCACATTCAAAATACCATGACTTGGGTCAGGCACACCTTAATCCTCAAAGTAATGTTCTTGCTTTTCAATACTCTAAGGAGGTCTGCTCCAGTAGATCTGCCTAATGAAACCCGTCTTTTGACTTCCTGACTGCTACTTTGATGCGCTCGACTATGGATCTAAGAAAGAAGAAATCCCTGACAACTTCAATCTTTTCTTCATTTATCCTGATGGTACCCATTGGTCCGCTTGTGAGCATTCTGGTCTCTTTTACATTAGGTTGTAATCTATAACAAAGGCTGCAATCCTTGATCTTCATCACCAAGTTCTTCAAATCCTCCTCACTTTCAGCATGCAAGATTGAGTCTTCTGCATATCACAGGTTGTTAATAAACATTCTTCTAATTCTGATGATGCATTCTTCATCATATAATTCAGTTTCTCTGATTATCTGATCAGCACACGGGTTGAGTAAATATGGTGAAACTAGTCAATCCTGACACACACTTTCCTTATTTTAAACCATGCCGTATTCCTTGTTCTGTTAGCCCAACTGCCTGTTGACCTCATGTATACAGGTCCTCCCACATGGGCACAATGGAGTGCTCTGCAGTTCTCATTCTTCTCAAGGCTACGTATAGTTTGTGATGAGGTCAAGTGCCTTGGCATCATCAACGTAACACAAATAAACATTTTTCTGCGGTTCTCTGATTTTAGCCAAGATTCATCTGACATCAGCAATGATATCCATTGTTCCACATCCTCTTCTGAATCTAACCTGAACTTCTGGCAGCTCTCTGTCACTGTACTGCTGCACCAGTTGTTGTGTTATCTTTGAAAATTTTCATGTGGATGTGATAGCAATGATATTGTTCTATAATTTGTACATTTTGTTAGATGAGTACCTTTCTTTGGAATGTATACAAATATGGATCTCTTCCTGTTAGTTGGCCAAGTAGCTCTCTTCCTAATCTTTTGATACAGATGAGTGGTTGCTTTCCGTACCCCATCAGCTATTTGAAACAATCCAATTGGTATTCTATCAATTCCTGAGCCCTTGTTTATGGCTAATGCTTTCAGTGCGACTTAGACTTCCTTCCTTCAATACCATTGGTTTTTGATCATATGCCACCTCTTGAAAGGGTTGATTTTATCATTACCCTACTTTAGGAATTAGAAAATTGAAGCTATAAATGTGGAATATATTTGAGAGCAGAATCAGAAAACAAATTCAAGTCTTGGTTGCCTCAGAGCCAACTCTGAGTGTGCACCCAATTTCATATATAATCACTGTGCCGTTAGTATCAGCAACTCTAAGATGATTATATTGTACCGCACAAGAGCTCTTCAAAGTGTTGAAGAGCAATGATGTCACTTTGAGGACTGACTCAAGCAATGCTATTTTCAATTGCAACATATAAATGTTAAAGTTGGACAGAAAATAAGGAAGACTGAGGAAGAAATGATGCACTTGAATCATGGCGTTGGCAAAGAATACTGAAAGCATCATGGACTGCCAGAAGAACAAACACGCCTGTCTTAGATGAACTGCAGTCAGAATGTCCCTGAGACAGAAGGCAGCAGAACTTTGTCCCCCTCCATTTGGATCAGTTGGAGAGACGAGGCCCGAGGAAAGGACTTCACGCTTGGTAGAAGGTCAGTGAAAGCGGAGCCCTCAATGAGATGGGTTAACAACAGTGTTTGCAATCCAGGGCTCCAACATAACAACAACTGTGAGCATGGTGCAGGACCAGGCAGTGCCTTGTTTGGCTGTTATGATGTCACTGTGAGTTGAAACTGACTTGACAGCACCTAACAATGCTACATTAAGTCCACTTGACAGCACCTAACAATGCTACATTAAGTCAACTTGACAGCACCTAACAATGCTACATTAAGTCGATTTACCATTTATTTAATTTTCTCATATCGCTAGACATTTGCAATTATGTGAACATCCCATCAGAAATAAAATTTTGCTTCCCTTGGCATTCTTATATATTTGAATTTTTCATTGGCTATATCTTCCACAAGTGGAATGGCTAAGGCAACGGTTCTCAATCTGTGGTTCACGACCCCTTTGGGGGTCAAACAATCCTTTCACAGGGGTTGCCTAATTCATAATAGTAGCAAAATAACAGTTATGAAGTAGCAATGAAAATAATTTTATAGTTGGGGGTCACTACAACATGAGGAACTGTATTAAAGGGTCGTGGCATGAGGAAGGTTGAGAACCACTGTTCTAAAGCAATGTGCATTGGGCACTTTCATTGTTTTACATGTAAATTGTCAAATGAATTCCCTAAAATTTTCTAATTCACTTATATACCACCAATTATATATGAGGGCAAACACTATAAAACTGGGTTAGAAACCTACGGGGTTACATTGGTTTTTGATTTCAAGATGCATCACATATGGCAGGCTCAAGGAATGTTTAGAAGTTATCTAATTTAACCTCTTATTTTGGTTTTAGGTATTCTTTAGTGATTGTTTAATTATCTGTCTCATTAAAAAAGCACACTCCTCCAAGCAAAGCTGATCTGCTTTATATATGCCATCCTCAAGTTACAATTCAATGTCAGCTGTCTCACAGGTACTCAGAGTTTGAGAGTTACATTCCAAATCAACCCAGAATCAGCAGCTTAGGGGTGGCGACATGAACACTGGTGTAAGAATCAAGAGCCCAAGATTAAAATGTCAGACTTGTCCCAAGTAGCGGTGACATAATTGTTCAATTGCTCAGATCCTTAATTTGAAAAATTGGATGTTTGACTCTATGGTCTTTGAGATAGTTTATTGTGTCAGCCTGGCCGATAAACACAAGTGGGATTAACTGAAGGGCGGAGAAATAAATGGCTCGGTGAGCCTCGCCTTTCTTGTCTCTTGCTCTTTGATCATTGGGCCAGTGTGCGACTGCCTTGCTTGTTCTGTGCCTCAATTTACAGGCTACACTACCTGTGGGACACCTAGCCTGTGGACTGTGTCGCTGTAAGTTGAGGTCCCTTTAAGGCATCTCTGGAGCTGGGGAATGGCTCTCTCCATATATAGAGAAAGATCTGGCAGCAGACTAGACTTGAAGGACTGCTAGTGTCTCACAACTCTCTATCACTGGAGTGAGTTGCACTAAGCCATTTCTAGTGCTTTATAATTTAACTGTTCATTTCTTGTATTATATATTTATCTGTATATGATTTAACAGTTCATTTCTTGTTATATATCTAATTATCTTTATAAATAAATATATTAAATTATCAGCAATTTGGTTTTATCTCTCTAGAGAACCCTGTCTAACACACTCTCTAAGATCTTTTAATGATAAAATTCTCCATGAATTTTAAGCCCCACCCTTGTATTTCACATTACCATCACAGTCTTCCAAATTAAACATGGGATATACACTTTATTTTGAACATCAACTTGTTAAAGCTTTGGCTCCTTGCCCAGACATCATGTGGTGTGTAGAAGGGAACCGGTCCAGATCTATGTTCTCTATGCTATCATTTACTGGAACATCTTGTCACTTTCTCTTTGTAACGTGTGGTGTTTATAACAATGCTTATAATAAGCCTAGATATTGTCTGCCTGAGGCAGAATAGATAGGGATTTTGTGGGAAAGAGATCAAACTTTGATTTAGGCAGTTCCCTGCCATTATATTTTTCTCTCACTGCCATCGAATTAATGCTCACTCATAGCAAACCCGTGTGCGATTCCAAGACTAACTGTTAATGGGAGGAGAAAGCTCTATCTTTCTCCCACGGAGCTGCTGGTGGTTTCGGACTGGCAACCATGTGGCTCGCAGGCCAGTGCCTACTTTACTCATCTGAAACATACAGGTCTTTTATACTAAAGCCCTGTGGCCTCTGCAGCTTTCATATGGAGGTAGGAGATAGAGAGGTAGCAGTGTAGAGCCTGCCAGACAGAATCTTATCACCTTCCTCTCAAGATAGAAAGGAACTGGGGGAGGGGGAAAGAAGCCTTGCCTCCAGCACAGGAAGCAGAAGGCCAACGTGTTAAAGTGTGGACGTCACACAGTCACAGATTTGTCTGGATGTTCATTGCCGTGTCTGCTAAGCCAAGCACAATGGCCAGGGAGAGGAGGAGGCACCTCAACACCATTTATTGAGTGAATAAAGAGTTGGGAAAAGACCAGAGGGTCTTTTCCATCCTAACTCTCCTTCCCTCTTATAATCCTCACCTACTTGTTATTGTTGTTAGGTGCCGTCGACTACATGGATTCTAGCAAACTATGGCTCACTCTTTACTGAGATCTTATTGAAGTGACGGGAGGCCTGGTGCTGTGGTGGTTACACAGGGTGCTGCAAACCGGAAGGCCGGCAGTTCTGTGGGAGATAGAAGAGACTTCCAACTCCCATAAAGAGTTATAGTCTTAGAAACTCACAGGGACAGTTCTACTCTATTCCACAGGGTCTCTGGGAGACAGATTTGACTCAATAGCAGTGAGTTTTTTTCACAGGATGAAGCAGAGACCCCAACATGCCTTAGGCAGCTCCCAGTCTGATATAGATCCAGGCTCCCCATACCAAACAAGTTCTTAGACAATAAGATGACCGCATATCCCTAGGTTTAAGTTCAGTATTTCTCTGATTGTGAACAAAGCTATTCAAGATGAACCAGCATACCAGAAAGAACTCAAACATTTGCTTTCCAAGATTAGGACTCAGAAAAGCAATCCATTTTGGTGATTGATTTTTAAAGGCATTGAGGCCCCTGGTCGGCAGGAAAGCAGCAGAGCCAAGCTTGCTTTTTCTTCTATGATTTCCTGCCTACCCGGCCCAATGCTTTTCTCAAAATCAAAGTGAATATGAGGCTCCAAGAGAGATCAGAAAGTGCATGGATCAGCCTACATAATTTCCTGAGTGGCATAACCCTTCTTAGAAAGAAATAACTCCCACACTCTAAAATCTTGACCAACTAAGGCTGCTCAAATTCCTGAAAACAGTCCTGTCAAATCCTCAGCATTGAGAAGTTTCTTCTCTATCAGGGACCTTCCACATGGTTGGATCCCTGTTTAGGTAATGCAAATATTCCTAAAGATCAGCAAAGCACCAATTATAAACAAAACACACAACCACTTCCTACGGAGCTTTGGGAGTCTAGTGGGTCACATGTTGGGCTGCAAACTGCAAGATCAGCTGTTCAAAATCACGAGCCACTTCATGGGTCATCGATGAAGCTTTTGCCCTCATGAAGATTGAGAGTCTCAGAAACCCACAGGAGCAGTTCTCAGAGGAGGGCTCTGAGGGGGCATCCACTCAATGGCAGTGAGCTTGGTGGTTTTTGAGTTTGTCATCATACCCAAGCCTTACCTAAGTAAGAAGCAAGTGGCTCATTCTTTTTGGTCGCCTCAACATTGAAGGTCATGTTCTGGGGAATGATGAGTTGATTAGCCTTCTGCATGACAACTGTCCCATTCCAATCATAGGCTCCTACTGCTCCAAGCATGACCCAATCCTGACAATCAAATAGAGAAAGAAACCATATCTCCTAAGAAACAGTCAGAGCAGACATTTCTATACCATTATGTATGAAGTAAGTACTGTTTAAAGTGATTTTTATATTTTTAAGTCAGACAGTCATTATGATAATCCTATAGGCTTACAAATACCACTACAGTCACCCCCCATTTTTTTGAAAACAAAAAGAAATGCTCTAGCTAGTCAGGCAATGGCATGATGAAATAGTCATAGTCCTTTGCAAGAACCTTCACCTGTTCTCTTCCATCATCACGTTCATGTTAGTTGCCCTGGAGTTGTGTGCAGAATAGAGATCTCCTCTATAGGGTTTCCAGGCTCGGGCAGGGGCGGGTTCGAACTGCTCCCCTTTTGGCCCGTAGTGGAGCCCTTCACCATGTGTGCTAGCCGTCTGCCCCATCAATGACACATGATAAATTTGTTAAAATTTGTGTTTCAGCTTTACTCTGGGTACCATGAACCGCAGGTCCTATGCATCCAGATCATGATTTTAGCATGCCCCTGGAATCGGTGGTAACTATGAAAACCATACATTTCACACCTTTATGCAGAACTTTGGAATGAAATAATGACCATAAATCCTCACACTTTGCAATATGTGCAATAGCATGTTTCCCTGACAAAGAGCTCTCAACATGCCATTTTCCTATTTATCTTAGAAAACATCCCCATACACTGCTCAAGCCACGCATTGCCAGCTGTGTTTGTAATGCTGACACCTGGTGGTTAGTTTTAGGAGAGAACACCTAGCCCGAAGCCATTTCACTTCCACAGAGTGGTGAACGTACCTGTGAATAATGAGCACTGAAGCCAGTCTGAGACATTTCCATTTCGAATGAAGCTGCTGATTGATCAGCCGTAGCTACAAAACAGGAAAATCATCATGAGCAACAAGCCAGATTTTTGAGGACACTGCTGACTTCCAGTAGACAGAGACCTGGCCTGGTGTGTAGTCTTAATCCACCCAAACTTCTAATGTCTTTAAGGGCCCACATGTTTCCCTGCAAAGTCCCTATGAGGGGCTGGGTAGAGGTCAGAGAGGGGAATGGAAGGCCACAGCCAAGTGCATCTCAGAGTCCTGCTTGTTATTGTCTTCACATTTGCTGGAAGGACTCCGAGGTCTCCATGCAGCTTGTTTGTCTTATATTGTAGCAGACTTGTGGATCCTAGGGTGTTTTGGATCCAAGGAGTTAGAGGTTCAGTGCTGTAAAAAACCACCGGACCACCCTGGAGACCCAGCTGAGACCTTGGACTAAACTTATCTAATAGGTTATAGGACTGAAAACATTCCACCCACAGATTGAAGAGCTCATTTGTCCTCTCCCAACCCCACCCCATCCAGGAATTCCATTAGGTAGTAACTAAGTTAGAGACTTGGATTGCAGTTGCCCTCGTAGCTCACTGTGGGACTGACTTTTATATCAGAGGAAACTTTTAGACCGGGGTTTTATATATATATGTATGTACACATGGATGCTCAATTAAAATATTTGTCACCCATTTTAAAGCTACTGAAATGCAGAGATGACCTGAAGTGTTCAAAGGAAGTCTTCTCTCTAGAATAAGGTGAACAGATTTTAATATTGGTAAAGCAGGACACCATTGATAAAACTCATATCCTGGCAAAATAGCCACATGGCAGCCGAAAACTGCGTACCCTAGCTTGTCATGAATTCTTTCCAAAAATCGGGACTTTTTAAAAATGCTGTGGGACGTGGGAAAAAACTGTTAAAAATTGGGACTGTCCCACCAAAAGCAGGATGTTTGGTCCCCTTGCTCTAGAATGACTTTCAAAATATGCACAACTACCAAGCCACAAACTCATCAGGGGGTTGACAAGAAAGTTAATTTATTTGAATCCACTAAGGCATTGCTGATTTCTTCAGCCTTACAGATATGTTAAAAATAGTGCCTGGTTTTAAGAATGTAAGTCTGACTTCTCACTGAGGTCTGAGAATCATCAAATTTGTGACATGATACTGTTCACTGTGTCCCTGTGGGGTGAGGGAAGAGAAAACAGTTTGTCCTGGGCTACTAATCAAAGGGTTTGGAGTTTGGACCCAGCCAGGCGTGCCACAGAAGAAAGGCCTGGTGATCTACTTCTATAAAGATTAAATCCAAGAAGACTCTACACAGGGCTGCACTGAGTCAGAGTCAACTCAATGGCAATGGGTTGAGGTGTGTGTGTGTATGTGTGTGTGTTTACTGGCAGGCTTTTGTTGAAAAATATTTTAGAAAGGCCATTTTATAGAATGAGATTAATTTGGACGAGCACTCAAGAATTTAGATATATCATTTCAGCCACAGGTTAAATGCTCTTTAACTTAAATGACCAACATATACTTTAATTTAAACATATGTAAATCTACAATGCTTGTGGGTGCTTTTTCACACATCTTTGCAAGACCAACAATGAAAACCCTAACAGCAGTCACCAAAAATCTACAGGAAGCACCTGGTCTACTCAGACTCAGGTGCTGCTACTTTCAGCTGAGAGCAGAGAGGAGGGATTCAGATGGTAGTCTGTCTGCTGAGACAGTCTGAAGGTAAGAGCCCTTTGTTAACACCTCCCTCAACTGTTCCTGGTTGCTGGGACAATGGCAGACCCTTGTTTAGGATTCTGAGCACCACTCCCAATGCATGGTGAGCCAGGGAAACCATTTCTGGAGTAGAACTGAGCTCCCGGGGGCTCCTAGCTGTCACCCCAGTTTCTTAGCAGCCAGGGGACACTCTAAAGAGCACAGTGCCACCCTGATACACATGGGGTTGCCATGAATCAGAATCAAGTCCACGGAAGTTAGTACAAACATGCCCTTATCTTTCCATTCCATTTTTCCGTGAATTCTTGAAGCTCCCTTATACATAGTAATGGGAAGTAGAGATGTGTCAAGTAGTAAGAAAATGAAGCCTTTTCTGATGTGAAAAACATCAGACATAATCTCCTCTAAAAGCGTTCTTAGTTAGCCCTGGAAAGGTAGCAACAAAATCACAGAAGACACTTTTCCACGGTGACATTTCTAATGGGAAAAAGCATTTATTGTAAAACGTGGAGACACCTGAGAGTGTGTGGGCACTACAATGGGCTAGCTGTAAGTCATGCTATAGTGAGGCCAGGAAAAATGTGGAAATGTTATCTAAGGCAAGTTGATATCCTCTCCCCCCAGAGCTGACAGGGCCTTTTCCTCCCGTCACTCACCTGAGATTTTGAAAGGAGGCTGTACAATATATAGCTAGCCAATGTTATCAGGTAATTTTTGTTCTTTTGAAGGGTCTTTACAGATTGTTTCCATCATCGTTTGGCTCATGCTATTAAAAGTTAAAAGTCCACTGTTTTGGATGATCTTATATGTATTTTCCTTAAACCCAGCCAAGTTCATTTTCTAGTAAACTATCGAGAGATGAAAGCCACATAAAAGTGACTTGTACACAGATCATGGGACAGCTGGGTTCTTCAGGAGCAGCTGCAACTTCACATGCTCAACAATTTGAGTGCTGTGTTTCGAAAGGCAGAGGGAAAAGGCACCAGAGCCAAGGGAGCCAGACAATTCAGTGTGGTCCTCAGCATCTCTGGATCAAACTTTATATTCTCCAGGTGCAACTTAGCCAGGAAATCCACAGGCTAAGCCATAACCAGCTCTTTGGAATTGGAAGAGAATAACGTGGACTGGAAACGATGATAAACGATCAGAATGCACTGCATGTAACAATCCCAAACTTAACCCACTGCGGCCAAGTGGATCCCAGCTCCTGGAGACCCTGTGTGTGGCAGCGAAGAACTGCTCCACGAGATTTTCTCGGTTAGAGGCTCAGCAGAAGGAAATCTCCAGGCCTTTGATCAACAGAACTACTGGGTGCTGTAGATCCACTGCCCTCTCGGTTAGTCATCTAGTGTAAATGGTTTCTACCCCATAAAAAGGGTATCTTACAAAATGTAGATTTCATTTTCAGATTGTGTGTGTGAAAAAGAAAAAAAAATCATTCTCGTGGATCACGGTCAAAAAACTCTGAAAGCCATTCTTCTGCGTCGCTTTCTTTCATTTCTATACTCTACATTTTGGTAGCCTGTGCCTGGGAACCACTTTTTTCCCTGGCAACTCCAGGACAATGAGCCATCTTTCCCCCCAGGTTTGCCTCCTTCTGTTTTACCTCTTTGTTTCTTACTATTGGGTCAGAACAGAGAGACTGAGAGGAGCTTGTTTACACTTCTATTTCTAAGTTGCAACCCCCACCCCTACTCCCATTGGTCAGTGCATCTCCACCAGGTCAAAGTGTGAACTGGATTCAGAAGGAGCACAAAGTCGGTACATCTCTCTGGTCAGTTCTCCTGCTGACAGGGCAGGAAAGGGGGTATGTCCCACGAGAGTCCAGCACTCAAAAGCTATGAAGAACTGTGCCAACTTGCCTGGAATACCAGCTCCAAAGGGTTATTGTCAGGAAAAGTCCAGTCCCAAAGTCATGTGTTCCTAGAAATCCCTCCCTAACGAAATGGGAGGCTGCCAGGTTCCATCACCCTGAATAGCTAGTTGCCATTTAAAAATCAAAGGAGAAAAGTCTGCAAAGCAGTAGAATGGTTTTTTTAAAAAAATAACAAACAAACAAACAGAATGAACTGATGGGACTTGAGTCAAAGTTCCAGGAAGTCCTTTAAAGCTGGTGAGGAGCAAAACGTGGAGAAAATAAAATGACGCAGATGCTATTTCCTAAAGACACTGCCACAGAAACCAAGAAAGAAACAATGAAACAAACACCACCAGGGACCTAACGCTAGGGTCTTCGTTTTCGAAACCTGGTTCATGGAAAAGGAACACAACACGGAGTGTGTGTGTGTGGGGGCGGTTTGTCCTTGCACTTCGGCATGGACCATTGTCAGCTCTCACATCAGCACTGCTGTGGCCTTACAGAGAGAGCTTCCAGTGAGCACAGTGTCATATGAAGTAGCCATCTCCCTGACGGATTTATATAAAAGGCCATTGTTCCGTGCTGGCTGTGGTTCAGGGTGAAAATGCATTAGCGATGTGATCAGAATAAATACTGAGAACCCGTTACATCAAGTTTGAATTATAGAGTGGACATAGATGAAGAGAAATAGTCATACCTTCCAGGGCAAATATTCTTTCTCCTAGAGCTTCGACAATATTGACTAGGGCCAATTCATCAGACACGTTGAAGAAATGCTTTTCTGTGGGCTCGCTTGCAATTGATTTTATTTCCTCCACAAGATTCTCGGTGCTTCGATTTCCTCGGTTATAGCTGCCAAGAATCTAAGACATAGCAAAAATGGCAAGGATATATTTTAAATTCTCAGTGCTAAGTAAGGACTTAGTCCAATAACAGAGTGTATAGTACCCTAGTATAATGCAATTTTTATGTACTCCCACAATCTTGGAAGAGCACCAGTAGACTCCCTGGTATTAACTGCTGCATAAACACTGCAATTGGTTTAGGAAAATAAGAAGACTAATTTTGTACATGTGCAAAAGTTCTCCTCTTGCATTCCTGCACTCCTGTTTATTAACAGCTGTTTCTGTAAAATCTGACAGTTCAAAAATAACATTGAATGTCTTTGATAGCATTCCAGCCGGTGACATCACCTTTTGTTGGCGTAAGCAGTTAGGCAGGGAAATGCTTACCCTTCCAGAGGGCAGCTCCTCCAGCAAACCTCAGCGACGGGGAGTTCCAGGCACACATTTTAAACATGGATATTGCACTCAGTAGTAACTAGTCTAGAAAATGCATAATTGGGACATTTCTGTTGGAAAGAAAAAGCTAAAGACACTCTTTGGAATGTTTTTTGATATTCAGAACTTATTCTCCTGTAGGATGTCCTGACTTTAGGTAAGAGGGGCTACAGAAGGACTTTAAAAATTCCAACAGACTACAATAATTCAATTTCTGGCTAATTTTCTGAAAAACAAATGCCGATAGCTGCTCGGGATTCTACTGGAGTGGAGGCCACTGGCCCTTTCCCCACTTGAGCTGAGTGACGTGGGAAGGAATGAGTGCAGCAGACACAAGAGGAGTGTGCAGAGAAGCAGTGAAAACCCAAGGGCCACTTGCTGTTATGATATTTCACAAATACTTTGTCCTATCTGTAAAAGATTGTTTTTAAAGTTCTTCTTAAACTGGAACATCTCACTGCATCTGGAATGTCCACAACCAGAGTAAACATGGAAAAAGCTGGAGAGATTCCGAGCACTTGTGGCCACCTCAATCCTTTGCTCTCCGCCTGGGGTTCCTCTCTGAACACACTGCTGGGCTCCCTTTCTGCCGCTGCTTTGATGTATGTGATTTTCTTGTAGATTGCCACCAATTCTGCATTCGAGAGCAGCCTTTGGCTCCTGATTGAATTTTCAAATTTATCCTACAGTTCATAGGATACCGTGCATTGAAAAATCACCATCTTCCTTTCTGGTTCCTCTTTATCATATTCTAGATTCATTATCAGGTTGCAGAGTAGCTTCCACTTCATTGAAATTCAGATAAGAAAGAGTTGTAAAGCCTTTGGGCCATGCATGATGCTGATTTATGATGAATATTTTCAGACACAGTGCAATGTATAAGAGGACATAGATATAGTTCAATGGAGAAAGTGCGCGTGATATTTTTCATTTGATTTTTTAAAAGTTTTATTGGCATATAATTCACATAACATACAATTCAATCATATTAAAGAGAGTTGTACAATCATCATTACAGTCAATTTTAGAACATCTTTTTCCTTCCTCAACTTACAGTTATTAGCGCCTCATTTCTCCCCAAACTACCTTGCCATAACCCCAAGAAACAATTGATCCAGTCACTATCTCTATAGATGTACAATCCTGGATTTCATATACCGAAAAAGACAAGAGAAACAGACAATGGGAGTTGTTGTTGGGTTGGGGGTCATGAAGTCGATTCTGACTTATGGTAAGTCTACGTCACAGAGTAGAAGCGTTTCATGGGATTTTCTTCACTGGCATGTTATGGAAGCAGATCACCGGGTCCTTTCTTCTGTGGAACCTTTTACTGGGTCGAATTGTCAGTCTTTAGTTAGCAACTGAGCGCTCCAAGTCCCCAGATGTCCCACAGGGAGAAAGAGAAGGCTGTCTGCTCCCATGAAGATTTACAGCCTCAGAAATGCTATGCAAGGTCACTAGAGTTCCAGTTCTGTAGTTATCACTCACTCACTGCCATCAGGGCGATGCCAACTCAGAGTGCCCTCTAGCACAGGGTAGAACTGCTCCTGTGAGTTTCTGAAACTGCACCTCTCTCAGGACTGTTTACAAAAGTAGAAACTTCGCTCCTCTCCCCAGGAGTGGTTGGTAACACAGGAGAACAGCCCAATGTGTAATGGTTAAGCTTTGGGGCTCACAGTAAGCCAAACCAGTTGTCCTCAAATCAATTGTTACTCATCTTTACCCTTTGTGTTTCAGAGTAGAACTGCACCCAATAGCATTTTCAATGACTGTGGGCTTTGATATGTAGATTACTAAGCTTTTTTTTTTTTTTTTTAGCTAAGGTGCCCCAGGGCCTGTAAGAAAATATAAAACAAAAGACTTCCCAGGAGTCGCTGAGACCAACATAGTTGTGTTATCAATGAAATACATGTAGAAAATAATGCATTTTGAGGCTTCACTCAAGGGTTTGATAGCTTGTAAAAACATTAATTTCTAGAAGATACAAGAGACACAAAATAAGACTTCTAAATTGTTCCCATCCCAATCAATACAAAGAAGTCTCACTAAATACAAATATGCCAAGCTTGGACATTTGGTATTTTAAAATAGTTACCAGAAGTGTACATTTATAATTGAAGGTCCCATTGAGACGATGTGTCAAAAGTAAAGTCTATAATTTACTTACAGATAGGACAGTGTCTTTTGTGTCTAAATAAATGACATTTTTACTCCTCTTATTTTCATTTGAGCAGTATACTTGTCACATACTTCCCAGCCATTACACTCGAATATTAGATTCCGCATTCATAATGTCAGACCAGACTCTGGGTGCTAATTGTGTCTCATACCCTAAGTGATGGAAGCAGAGCCCCTGTGAGAACCTCAGAACAGCTCAGCACCTTCACTTGATCTGAAGCTGACACAGGGTTACCCTTAAATACCGTGCCCGCGCCCCACCAAATGCATCTCCTTCTGTTCAAGACCAAATGTTGGGCAAAAAGGATGGAATAGAAGGACTATTGGATATTCGTGGGAAACTAACACTGAGGGAAATAGAACTGGGACTTTTCCCTGACTGGTTCAGAGGGAATCTGGAAGACTTATTCCATGGTAGGAAGACCGCCACTCTGGTAGTTGGAGATATAATCCAAGTACATTTTGCGGTAGTCTATCATTTCCACAGTTTCTCCCCTTAAAGCTGTGCTGCCTTAAAGTGAGCAAATGGTTGCTTCTATCTCTCTATAGAAGCACACATTCCTATTTGCTCTATTTCTGCCTGCCAATCTCTCACCCAAGAGATCTAACAGATTCAAATTGCTTACCATAAGCCTGAATTTTTGGCTATATTAATTTGGTCATTAAATTTGCCTCGACAGCTTTCAGTGTATAGAAAGTAACCACTTCACCCCTGTGGCTCTTTTGAATTTTATATATAAAACAAAAGGAGGAATTGTGAGATAAAAAATACTTTTCCCCAGCATTGTCTCCGCCAAAAGATATGCCAAATATTAGAGGCTGTTTGCCAGCAAGTGGTGGGCGGTCAGATGCTTGGAGATATACTTCCTGAAGGCATTCAGACTGGGCCATTATAGGTGGGGTTCACACCCTACAGATAATGGTTTCCAGGGAGACCCAGAGAACAGGTCAAACCTGCTCAGTGACATCCAAAGTTAGGCTGCCATCCTGTATCTAGGATCTGCCCAACTTGTCACATGTATACCCTTAATCCCTCTTCTTCCCATAGCATGTGTACCCCTAGACTGTCCCCTCCCATTACTGTATTACCTATAGTACAACCCCTTCAGGTGACATATGCCTTTACCTGTAATTAGGGGGCTTGCATGCCCCGCAAAGATATATAAGCCTTGGTTAGTAATAAAAAGCGCTCTCCCTCATCCTGGCTCTCTCCTATTGGCTCTCCCCAGTCCTCACTCCCCTGTTCCCTTTCCCCTTGTCCTCCTCCCCCTCCCCTTCTCTCCTTCCCTCCGGTCTCTCAGTCTCTCTCTCCACGTGGACCACCAAGTGAGGCTGAGGTGAGCATGCTACTATGAAATGTGTCTGATTCCATTATTTCAATCTCTCTTCTATCTCTCATGCTCTCTATGACTTTACTATAATCTTTACTTATTATCGCTGTACAATTGCACCTATCAAACCCGCGATTAATTGTAGGGGGCTGGCCTCTCCCCCACAGATACTGGGTCATGTCCAGCATGAAGGGACCTCCAGAAATACCTAAAATTAATCTTCTTTTGCTATATAACAAAGGGGGAATGATTTTCAACAAAGCACTATATTTCCTAGTGTCACAAAGTAAAAATAATTGCTTCACTGGTGAAAAGGAATATGAATTGGGGAAAAAACAAAACAAAATTTCCTAAGTAAAATGTCTCTACACATGTTTATTTACTCCACGTCAAAGAATAATTTGATAATAAGTCACTTTAAGACCAAGAAAGAAACTTAGGATTTTACAAAGATTGATGCAGTAATAGACTTGGACTTCCTTTTGAGCAGAGAGTAGGGAAAATGTGGAGTATCACCTAAGAGCCCAACAAAAGCAAGCATAACGATGGAAAGGCAGGACTTCTTGAACAGGTAGCCACATATAATGTACAGCGCAGAAGCCATCCAAAAGGAAGAAGTCACTAGTAGATGCTTCCTTTCCAGTGGGGTAGCCGAACCTTGTTAAAATTGATGGTGACTCACCTGGTTCACAGCCTGTGTCTACAGTGCCCTGATGTCCGTCTGTACGTTGGCTGGGGAATGGGAAAATTATGGAACATCTGACCTCTACTTGTCTGAGACAAACTGGGAACGCACTGGTTTTGCATATGGAAGAGGCTAGTCTTACATTCAAATCTTGTGACTTTCATTTGGACAGTACCTCTGATTTAAAGCTGGACCATACCATATCATTCTCAACAACATGGGGGATCAAATTAGATGGTAGGAGAGGTTATACAATATATGTAGTGAAAAATACTTGACAAAAGGTAATTAATAGAAGGAACAGGAAGAGGAAGGAGAGAACTCACGAGACCATGTGCAATGTCTTCACAGTTTGCACCCCAAACGAAAAAGAAGATATCACAGCCAGA